TTGTATTTTATTTACAGCAGTTTCGTTGCATTTGGTTCTCCCATTATTTTTTATTTAGCTACTGCATTTTGGATAAATATTAAAAAATACTTACGTTCGGGGTTCAGTCTTAGATAATGCCTTTAGCTAAGATTTTCTGTAGGTATACCTGTTACACTTGGATATCTATCTTAATATTGGCTTTAGACCGAGTACTTTCTCAGCCCACTGATATGTTTCATTTGCCACAAGATTTATATTTTCATTCATTAAGTAAGATGAAATGACATGGTGACCCGCAGTTGGAAATGCTACTTTATGTTTTTGATTGGCAGGTGTTCCTATTTGGTTGTAAAAATCTAGCATTCTAGATACAGAGACTACTTTATCTTGATTTTCTTCGTCTTTGTAATAATAACCCATAAAAACAGGAACTTTTATTTTTTGGAAAGTTTCTTCATGCATGTAATCCTTAATTATGGTTTTTAATGCAAAAAGTCCATTAGTGTGGTAGACTGAATTCCAATATTTTTGTTGGTCTGGAGTGTAGTTTATTCTATTATATTCACCACCCATTACCAAAGATGAAAGTTGTTTTCCCCACGGATATAGGAGTAGTTCAGAATTAGTATCATATATGTCAATATTTGGCGAATACATGATCATACTATGTATATCTTCGCCTGTCGCGGCAAGTATCGCTGACAATGTTCCACCTGTAGAACAAGAAATCACAATCACTTTTTCACCTAGTATTTTTCCTATATCAATGGCATCTTCAGCCGATTGAATAAAATTGTCTGGCGTCAAAGTTTTGAATGTATCATCATATGATCTTCCATGATCTTCAAGTCGAGCAAGGTACAAATTGCAGCCATATCTTTTTGCAAAATCCCTGTGTATGGGCGCACCTTCTTCATGGCTAGCCGAAAACCCATGAAGATAAACTACACTATACGGCGTTTTTTGTTGGAAACTGTCATTTGCCCAAACAATTTTTGCTTCATTACCAGGTTTAATATCCTTTGTTTTAAATTCTTTTGATTTTACATAGTCTTCTAGTGACTGAATTGGAACATTTATTTCTGTATCTAAGATTGTGGCAGGTTCAAATGTGACTTTAGGGCCCATGAAACCAACTATGGCAAGTAGAATAATAAAGAATAATAAAATTTTTAAAATTTTCACGGGATTAAGGTTTATGATATTGATTAATTATTTCCTGAATATTTACGATGGATTTCCCATACTTGTGGTATCAGAGGCGTGTTGCCATCATTTTTAATAACGTAATCTGCAACTCTCACTTTTTCATCTTCTGGCAATTGATTTTTTATCCTTGCTGATACTTCTTCTTCTGATACTTGATCGCGTTCCATCACTCTTTTTATTCGAATATTTTCTGGACAAGTCACTACAATTAGAGCATCAAGGTGCTTGTAGGATTTAGTTTCAACTAATAAGGCAGCTTCTTTTAAAACGTATGTGGCATTTGTTTTTGATTTAATGTTTTCATACCATCTTTCTACATCAGTTTGCACGGCAGGATGGACTATTTTATTCATACTTTCCAAAAGACTTTTATCACTAAATATTTTAGAAGCAATGAATGCTTTGTTAGGTTTTCCGTTTTTATAGTAGGATTCTGCCCCTAATAACTCCTTTATCTGTCTTTTTACGGCAGGATTAATGCTAATAATTTTTTTGGCTTCAAGATCGGCATAATAAATAGGAACACCTAAGGTCTCAAATATTTTGCAAACCGTAGTCTTACCAGAACCTATACCACCAGTGATGCCTACTTTTTTTAGCATGATTAAGTTACTTTTTTAAAAATAGTAAACGACTCCAAGCCCCTAATAATCCACTCAACCCACCTACAATGCTTCCTACCATAGCTGTCAAAAACAATACTGCTCCACTAGAAATGCCACCCATCACATTTCCTAAAAGTATTGACATAGGCTCATCAAAATTTCCGTCAGACATCCAAGCTTTGACATACCAAAGTACAAATATAGCTAATAAACTCGATGCAAATGCAACAAATTTGGACAGATTAGCAAAATAACACACTACAAAACAAACGATGGCCACTATCCACCATGGCAAAAATATCTGAGCTAGATAAGTGATGAATATAATGATTGGTATTATAACTATGTTTTTCATTTTGATGCAATTAATTGGATGGATTGGGTTGTTTTATCTTTAAGTTCATCTTTTTTGGATACAAAGTTTGGATTATAGTATTCACCTTTTGACCAGGCAGGTATCATGTTTTTGTAATATTTGCTTGTCGGATTACCTGATTGACCACCTGGATATACAGCGTATGCTTTGATTTTATTTTCTAAACTTACCACCATTCTCCAACTCGGGCCAAACGACTGTCCCGTAGCATTGATTGCATCAGGGCATCCATCCACCGCCAGGTCCATCGCAGACAAAGCAGGCAATCTGGTCAAGTGATAAATATGTAAAGGTTTGTATTGTCCCCAAGTATTATTTTTTCCTTCTTTTGTACGATTATTAAAATCTGAAATAGCTTCTTGTAATGATTTTAGTACTATATCAGACGTTAATTCAATATTTGGAGTAGACTTTATATCAAAATATTTATGACTTGGATATTTTTGAATGAACTTCAGGAGTACCCAAGGTTCTGGTAGTTTTACATCCATATTGTTGCGTTCAATAACGATTTCATCCCATGTATTATTCGCCAATTTAGTATAAAAAAGATCAAAAAGGGTAGGAGCTTCTTGATCGGCCAGATATCTAAAGTCCCATTTATTTAATAATTCCCAACCTATTTTTAGACTATCTTTTAGTGATAAGCTATCCACAATTGATCTTAAGGTTGTAATGTACTCAGCTGCTTTAACTGAATAAGCATCTTGTTGCATTTTTTTCATGTCGTCTGCTGTTATTCCATTCATCGAGGTAAGTTTGTCATTTACACTTCGATTTCTATACCTTTCAAATTTTCCGGTGAAGTAATAAGGATAACTGCCATCTGCACTTACTTGGTTTGCGGATGAGATAAAGCCACGTTTAGGATTCAGAATTTGTGGATTTTGATGTCTTGGTATGAATGCTTGCCAACCATTTTTGGTGTCATCTCCATATTCAACAAATCGTCCATCTTGGTCATATTTTGCTGGGAATCTACCATTGACTCGAAGTGCTATATCACCAGATACCGATGCAAACCCAAAGTTTTGGGCAGGTGCAATATAATTACCTGTTGCTTGGAGATAGTCATCATAATTTTTACAAGACAATGCCTGAATAAAAGTATTAAATTCGTCGGTGTCTGGTTCATCATGTGCAAGCCATCTCATGGCTAGATCATGATTTCCATCTTCCGATGTACGATAAATGGGCCCCCAATGTGTATATTTTACAGTGTCGACCAAAGATTGACCACCTTTGATATTTATTGTTTCTATCCTTGATGTTATGTCCATTTCCTTATCATCAAGGTAGTATTTGGTTTTTTCTTTATTTACCCATTTTATGACATAAATATCTTCAACATCTTGGCCGACATTGGTTTCTCCCCAAGCTATATATTCATTAAAACCTATCATAATGCCAGGGAATCCAGGGAAAGAAACGCCATATGCATTAATTTCTGGTGTTTGGATTTGTACTTCAAACCATATAGAAGGTAACCCAAGACTTAGATGTGGATCATTGCAAAAGATAGGTGAGCCTGTTGCAGTTTTTGTTCCACTGACTGCCCAACTATTACTTCCTACACCTTTATCTCTGTTTTCATAAAATGATTTTAATAGTGGTTTTTTGAAGAAGGCTTTTGTGTCTTGTGGCATTCCATATAGCGTATCGAAAGCATATGGTTTCTCAGTAGGTATTACAGGGTTTTCTGTTAATTGCCTTTCAGGATATAGTAGATTAAAGTCTTCTTTTCCAAGTAATTGCATTAGATTTGTGTACTCTACATCATCATTTCTACCGGCTAAAGTAAGTGACATTTGTTTAAATATCAAGGCAGATTTTAATGGTGTCCATTCTGAAGGTTCAATATTAAATAACTTATATTCGAAAGGAAGGTTTTCTGGTTTTAAACTCTTAATATAAGCATTTACACCTTCAATGTAACTAAGTACAAGGTGATAATTTGGTTGTTTTTCCCAGCCTTTGACTGCATTTTCAGCAGCAAACTTCATTCCCCTGCGCCTGCTTGCTAGATCGAGTTCAATAGTACGTGGTCCGAAAATGGATGACAATTCACCTGCTGCAACTTTTGCCAAAAACTCCATTTGGAATAATCTATTTTGTGCTTCTGCATATCCTTGAGCAAATAGGGCATCATTCAGGTTTTCGGCAAAAATATGGGGAACTCTACGTTCATCATAAATAATGTCAATATTTCCTTTAATTCCTTGTTGCGAAAGTTCATAATTGTTCTTTTCATTATTATTGTCTGATGTCCATGCGCCACCAAAAGGATTTAAAAATTTTCCAAGTGGTGGTAACGGGTTATTTGGAATAGATACGGCGCCATGTAATATAAGTATGAGCGTTATGGTAACGATAGCAGTTATACCAAAAAAGACTTTTTGCCCCATGTGGATGATGATTTAGGCAGTAATGATAATATTTATTTTTTAAACTCGACGTAAAATTATAAAAAATAGTTTAGAATATTAACAATTATTTTATGCCTATTGGGCAAATAAAATTATTGAAATTTAAATGTTAGCAGGTTTATTTAATAAGAAAAGTATAATTTTCAAATCTTACTTTTAAACTTGTTTTCGATTGTTTTACTGTCAAAATTGGTCAATTTAAAGCAATATTCATCATTTTCATGCCAATTTGTCTATTTTGATGGAATGGTATAGTTTTGGTCAACTATCTTTACATTGAAATATTTAATATCTTTGTCACTCTTTTGAAATAAAAGTGGCGAAAAGTCATTTATAATCAATATCAATCACGAAAATATATACATAATGTTTAGTTTTATAAAAAATATTTTTGGTTCTAAGTATGAGAGAGACGTAAAAGGATACTCTGCAATCGTAAGCCAAATAAATGCACACTATGATGCTTATCAGTCACTTAGCCACGATGAGTTAAGAAATAAAACAACTGAATTCAAGCAAAGAATCAAAAATAGCCTTGCAGATATTGACGCAGATATTACTGCACTCACAGAAAAGGCAAATCAAGAACCAGATTTTGTAAATAAAGAAAATATTTACAACGAAATTGATAAAATCAAAAAAGAAAGAAATAAATACCTTGAAACAGCGCTGAAAGAAATTTTGCCTGAAGCATTTGCCGTTATTAAGGAAACATCTAGAAGATTTAAAACAAATCCTACCATAGAGGTAGAAGCTACAGATCACGATAGATTATTGGCAGTAAATAAAGAGTTTGTCTCAATACAAGGAGACAAAGCTATTTGGAAGAATAGTTGGAAAGCAGCAGGTGGTGATATCACTTGGGATATGCTTCATTATGATGTCCAGCTCATAGGTGGTATGGTGCTGCATGAAGGAAAAATTGCGGAGATGGCCACAGGTGAAGGTAAAACATTAGTAGCAACCTTACCTGCATATCTAAATGGTCTTTCAGGCGAAGGTGTTCACATCATAACGGTCAATGATTACCTAGCAAAAAGGGATAGCGAATGGGTAGGACCAATATTCCAATTTTTATTACTCACAGTAGATTGTATAGATAAATATCGCCCACACTCTCCGGAACGTATCAAAGCTTACAGATGTGACATCACTTATGGAACCAATAATGAGTTTGGTTTTGACTATTTGAGAGATAATATGGTGCGTGATGCAGAAGAACTTGTGCAGCGCAAACATCATTATGCCATGGTGGATGAGGTAGATTCAGTGTTGATTGACGACGCAAGGACACCTTTGATCATCTCAGGACCTGTGCCACAAGGATTGGAAGAACAAGAATATTTAGAGTTAAATCCTAAAATTGAAAAGCTCGTTTCTGTACAAAGACAACTTGCAACAGAGTACCTTGCTGAAGCTAAAAAACTTATCAAAGATGGAAATGCGGGACATCTCGAAGGCGAAGGCGGTCTATCTTTATTTAGATGTTACAGAGCTTTACCTAAATATAGACCATTAATAAAGTTTTTGAGTGAAGATGGAGTAAAAGTGATCTTACAAAAGACAGAAAACTTCTACATGCAGGAACAAAACAAAAACATGCATTTGGCTGATGCGCCATTATATTTTACTATTGATGAAAAAAATAGATCAGTAGAACTTGCAGAAAAGGGAATAGAATACCTATCCAAAGGCGAAAATGACCCTAATCTTTTTGTCATGCCTGATATCACTCAGCAAATCCAAGAACTAACTAGCAGAGAAACCAAGGAAGGTATTAAACTTACTGAAGAGAAAGAGCTAATGATCCAAGACTATTCTATCAAGTCTAGGCGTCTACACGCTACAAGTCAGTTGCTAAAGGCGTACACTTTATTTGACAAAGATCAGGAATATGTAGTCATTGATGAGCAAGTAAAGATCGTAGATGAGCAGACAGGTCGTATGATGGAAGGGCGTAGATATTCTGATGGTCTCCACCAAGCATTAGAAGCAAAGGAAGGTGTAAAAGTAGGAGAAATCACACAGACTTATGCGACAGTAACACTTCAGAACTATTTTAGAATGTACCACAAACTAGCAGGTATGACAGGTACCGCTGAGACAGAAGCAAGTGAATTGTGGGAAATTTACAAACTTGACGTAGTCGTTATTCCAACCAATAGGCCTATTATCAGAGATGACAAAGATGATTTAGTATATAAAACTGCAAGAGAAAAGTTCAATGCCGTTATAGAAGATATAGGTAAATTGACTGCACAAGGTAGACCTGTCCTTGTGGGTACCACTTCTGTAGAGATTTCTGAGTTATTGAGCAGAATGCTTAATTTAAGAGGTATTAAACACAATGTATTAAATGCAAAGCAACACCAAAGAGAGGCAGAAATTGTAGCTGAAGCAGGTAAAGCGGGAGCTGTTACTATAGCTACCAATATGGCAGGTAGAGGTACGGATATCAAGATCAATGCTGAAGTCAAACAAGCAGGTGGTTTAGCTATTGTTGCCACAGAAAGACATGATTCTAGAAGGGTAGATAGGCAGTTGAGAGGTAGAGCAGGAAGACAAGGAGATCCAGGTAGTTCACAGTTCTATGTGTCATTAGAAGATAACTTGATGCGTCTTTTCCAATCAGAAAGAATTGCAGGTATTATGGACAAAATGGGCCATAAAGAAGGAGAAGTTATCCAACATAATATGGTCTCTAAGTCCATAGAAAGAGCACAGAAAAAAGTAGAAGAAAACAGTTTTGGAGTAAGAAAGCGTCTCCTTGAGTATGATGATGTAATGAATATTCAGAGAGAAGCAATTTATAAAAAGAGAAATAATGCACTCCACGGCGAAAGGTTGTCAGTTGATCTACATAATATGTTCGTAGGTTCAGTTGAAAATATCGTTGCTATAAATAAAAGGTCTAATGATTTTGAAGGTTATAGATTTGATTGTCTCACATCTTTGAGTATTGATCCACAAATCGATGAAGATACATTCAGAAGCATGTCGGTGGACAATCTAATTGACGAAACACTTGACGCAGTAATGAAACATTATAATTACAAGTCTGAACAAATCACTCAGATCCTTCTTCCTACCATCCAAAAGGTATATGAAACAGAAGGTCATCGTTACAAACGAATAGCAGTGCCATTTACAGATGGTCGTAATAATCCATTACCAATAGCAGCAGATCTCAAAATAGCTGTAACTACAGGTGGTGCATCTATCATGAGAGATATCGAAAAAACCATTACTTTGGCTATTCTAGATGATCATTGGAAAGAGCATTTGAGAAATATGGACGAACTCAAAGATTCTGTACAGTCAGCTTCATTTGAGCAGAAAGATCCATTGGTTAAGTACAAAATTGAAGCCTATAATTTATTTGAAGAACTTATCAACAAAATAAATAAAGATGTAGGAGCTTATTTATTTAATGGTAAGTTGTTGTTGCAGCAAGAAGTAAAAGAAGCAAGAGTACAAAAATCTGATCTTAGCAAAGTACGTACTAGTCGCGAGGAAGAAGATGCAAAAGCAGCAGCAGAAGGTGTTTCTAGAAGAAATGAAAAACCAGAAACTTTCAAAAGGGTAGAAGATAAGGTCGGTAGAAATGATCTTTGCCCATGTGGAAGCGGCAAGAAATACAAACATTGTCACGGTAAATAATTATTTAAATTTCAACATATCCAATGACAGCAAGCCCGATCGTACCCATTGAAAAATACATGGAGCGATGTTTTGAGCTTGCTGCTTTTGGAGGAAAAGATACCAAATCAAACCCAAATGTCGGTTCTGTCATTGTTTTTGATGGACAAATAATAGGAGAAGGTTATCACAGATATTACGGAGGTCCACATGCAGAAGTAGAAGCATTCCAAAGTGTATCAAAATCAAATCTTCACAAAATTAAAGATGCTACTTGGTATGTAAGCTTAGAACCATGTTCACACTTCGGTAAAACACCACCTTGTGCCCATAAAATTGTGGCTGAAGGGTGTAGAAAAGTAGTCATAGGATGTCTAGATCCAAATCCAATAGTAAGTGGGAATGGTGTCAACTATTTAAAAGATCATGGAGTAGAAGTTATATCACCATTCTGTGAATCAAAAGCGAATCATATCATAGCAAAATTTAAAGCTAATTTAGAGAAAAAGCCTTACATCATCCTTAAATGGGCTCAATCCAAGGATAATTACATTAGTAAAATCGGTGAACAAACTTGGCTTACAAGTCAGGCTACAGGAATTTTTACACACAAATGGCGCACAGAAGTTGATGGAATTTTAATAGGTAAATCAACGGCAATCATTGATAACCCTTCCCTTACATCTAGGCATTATTTAGGACAAAATCCGCTAAGGATTATTCTTGATACACGCCTAAGTTTGCCGATTGATTTGAATATTTATAGAGATGATTTACCCACATGGACTGTTACACAGAATACTATTCAAAATGATGATAAAAAAGAACAATTGGTCGTGTCAGACGTTCAGCAACTAAATAAAGTTTTAGATTTGTTGTATCAAAAAGGTATTTTCTCTATCATCGTAGAAGGTGGCGCTCAAGTCCTTAAATCGTTTATTGATCAAAATCTTTGGCATGAAGCGAGAATAATTAAAACGAAGGTATTATTAAAGGAAGGAATTCCTGCCCCAAACATAGATGGTAAATTGTTGGATCGAATACAAATAGGGGATGACGATGTATTTTATATTGAAAATCCTAACAAAAAAAATTAAAAGATGAATAGAAACGAACGGGCTAAGTTTGTAATAGAAAAATTGGAATCTTTATATCCTGAAACGCCTATTCCATTGGATCACAAGGATAACTATACTTTGCTAGTCGCTGTTTTATTGTCTGCACAGTGTACTGATATACGAGTGAATCAAGTAACACCACATCTTTTTGCCCTAGCTGACAATGCTTTTGATATGGCGAAGGTACCTGTGGAAAAAATAATGGAAGTCATCCGACCTTGTGGCCTTGCACCTAGAAAATCTCAAGCAATATCTGATTTGTCTAATATACTTATCGAAAAATATAATGGAGAAGTGCCTGATAATTTTGAAGCTCTAGAATCTTTGCCCGGTGTAGGTCATAAAACAGCATCAGTGGTCATGTCTCAGGGATTTGGTGTCCCTGCTTTTCCAGTAGACACGCATATTCATAGGTTAGCTTATAGATGGTGTCTGAGCAATGGAAAAAATGTAGAAAAGACAGAAAAAGATCTTAAAAAGATTTTCCCAAAGGATATATGGAATAAACTACATCTACAAATCATTTTTTTTGGGAGAGAATATTGTCCTGCGCGTGGTCACAATATCGATTTATGTCCTATTTGTTCAGTGATGGGACGTAAAAACGAAAAAGCGCCGAAAAAATAAATTCTTCGACGCTTTCTATAATTTAAAAGAAATACAATCTTTTATTTCTGAATAACAATTTGTTTTGTTGACACACCTTCTTTCCCTGCTATTCTTAATATATAAGTAGCAGCAGGTAGATTAGTACCATCTATTTGAGTCGTAAATGTACTTGTGTTATCATTTTTAATAATCATCTTTTCAATATTTCTACCGTATATATCCATCAAGACAACATTATATGTTTCTTTTGAATCTTTGATATTCACATTAAAGAATCCATTATTTGGATTTGGTGTTACTGTAATTTTGCTATCTAATTCAGTATCACTGACAGATGAAATGATTACTGTTAAGATTTGGCTAGCAGTATCTAATCCACATGCATTTTTAGTAATTAGTGTAACTTCATATTGTCCACCTGTACTATAAGTATGTGTAGGATCTGAAAGTTCACTTGTGTTACCGTCACCAAATGACCAGTTGTAAGTTTCTACATTATCACCTGTGAATTCAAAGACTACTTGGCCGTCATTCTGAGTTTTATCAAACTGCGCTGTAGGCAGTGGTAATACGGTAACCATCATTGTAAACGTATCTGTTCCTAAGTCATTACTTGCTATTAATCTAACAGGATATGTACCAGCCTCTGCAAATGTTACTGAAGGAGTTACTTCAGAAGAAACTGATGGATTTCCGCCTTCGATAGTCCATTCAAATGTATTAGCATTTATGGAAAGGTTCTCAAATGAAATTGGGGTATTTATACAGTTTGATTGTCCTCCTGCCATATTAAATGATGATTCGGGATACACATTAACACTCAAAGTTTGTATAAGCTCTGATGATTCACCACATACATTACTATTTATTTGAGTGATCAGGTATTCACCGTTTGATGGGGCAGTAAATGTTACGGGACTTCCCGATAAGGTCAAATCTAAACCTTGACCCGTTACAGTCCACGAAGTTGATGTTGCACCAATGCCACTATTTGATAATGTTACCAAGTTACCATCTTTTGTTGGTTGGAATCCCGTAGTTGGCACTGTTATAATGGTGATATAATCTGAAATAGTGGTTGAACCATTTCCTGTAGGATTAGATACTACTAAACTTACATTATATGTACCTGGTGAAGCATAATTTATGACAGGATTTTGCTGAGTTGATGTTCCCGGAGTTCCTCCTTCAAATGTCCATGACCAACCAGTAACTGATGGCGATGACTGACTTGTAAAAGCAATTTCTGAACCAGCACATGTTGTGGTAGTGTTTGCTGTAAATCCTGCGACAGGTAATAATTGTACCAATACATTTTGTGTTTCTGTAATTATACCACATTCATTTTCAGCACTTAAGGTTACAGTATATGTTCCTTCGGCTGCATAAGTATGTTCAGTATCTTGATCATTACTCGATTGGCCATCTCCAAAATTCCAATTAATGTTATTTCCATTTGTAATAGACCCATTAAATGCTACAGTCAATCCATCTCCTAAATGAGAAAATGAAACTTGTGGTTGATCATTTGCATTAACGAAGTTTTGACTGGTAAGTGTATCCGAGCCATTCGCATTTGTCACGATTAATTGTACATCAAATACACCAGCTGAATTATACATCACGGTTGGGTTGGCATCTGTAGAAGTACTTGGTGTTCCTCCTTCAAAAAACCAAGTATATGAAGTAGGATTATATGTAGATGTACTTTGAAATGTTATAGATTCTGGTGTACATAAAGAACTTACAGATGTAGGCAAAAACGAAGCGGATGGCGCAAGCGCTATTGTTATTACCTGGCTTGAAATCACTATGTCACAATTGTTAATTGTTTGTAATTCTACGTTGTAAGTACCGTTATTTGAGTAGGTATGAACCGGGTTTTCTTCTGAACTAGTCTGGCCATCACCAAAATTCCAACTGTAAGAAGTTGCAAATTGAGAATTATTATCAAAAGTTGCAGTTGCACCTTGTAGTACATGGCTAAAACCAGTAGTAGGAAGTGGTGAAACGGTAATGTAGTTATTTTTTACAATCGTATTACTTCCTATTGGGTTATTAGCTCTAAGGGTAACATTAAAGGTACCATGATCAGGATATTCCACAACAGGATTCATTTCTGTAGATGTATTTGGAATTCCACCTGGGAATGTCCATAAAAACGATGTGGCATTACTAGATGATTGGTTTACATAACTTACAGATAATCCTTGACAACCAGACACGACTGATGAAGTAAAGTTTGCCACTGGTGGTGTGATGATTTCAATGATCTCTGATTTTGTATCTGATCCACATTCACTTTCTATAGTCAAAGTTATGGTATAAATTGCATCATTTTGGTAAGTGTGAAATGGATTTTGAAGTGTACTGGTAGTTCCATCTCCGAATTCCCAAAAGAATGTATTTGCGACATCGCCTATGTAAATGCAAGAGATATCCCTTCCAGTTATATTAACCACAAAGTCAGCACTTGGTATGTCTAATACAGTTATTATATTGCCAATTGTTATGGAATTGCTATTTCCTGAACTATTAAAAGCTGTCAAAGTAGCTTCGTAAGTACCCACAGAATTATATGTTACAATTGGGTTTGCCGCTGTTGATGTAGAAGGTGTACCACCTGGGAAACTCCATTGTCTAGAATTTGCATTTGAAGATTGATCAGAGTATTGTACAACGCCTGGTAGACAATTTGTGACCACATTAAAAGTAAAATCAGCAACTGGAAAATTACCACCACCCGGACAGTTTTGTAGGCAAGTCGCATTGTTGTATTCATTTTGTATGCTTGAAATTGATGCTGCTGACCATGTATTTGTATTATTGACAGAAGGCGCCATAATAAAACCACTACCGGCGCCATCATGTTCAGCACTAAAATTATGCCCTATTTCATGAGCAACCATCACTCTTATTAAATTTGCATTACTTGTGAAATCTTGAAGAACATGATACTTAAAACTTGAACATAAAACGCCTACATAAGCAATTCCAACAGTACCCCCATCCATATCTCTATTTGTCCACAATCCAGCTAAGTCATGATCTGTACTAAAACCATTATTAAGAGACCAAGATCTGAAAGAAATTAGGAGTGTTTCAGCATCCGTACTAGTGGTCCATGGATCGCAAGTAGCACATGACGAAATCCACTGTTCATTCATTAAGAATTGGATTTCGTCTGCAAATTCATTGTCATAATTAGTTTGCACATCATTTAAAACACCAATATTATGGTTCTCCACACCAGATACACTACCATATTTGACTCTCATAGACCAATCTGAAGCGGTATTGTAATTGACCAATAAACACTCACCGACTTGTCTTTGTCCTACATTTTTATCTGTATTTTTTTTGATCCTTTTGTTTTCTGCAATATCAAGTTCATATCCACATTTGTACTCTTTTTGTTCTATGATGTCTTTCGTGTTATATAAAATAAATTCGTCCGAACTTCTTACATCCAATAAATGATATACTGGCTCAATGAAGTATTGCTCGCCTCCGAACCTTAAAAATCCATATATGAAATTTTCATTAAAGGTTAATGAAACTTCACTATTCGACATGCCATTTATAGTTCCTTTGGTCGGTATTGCTTTAGTACCATAACTAACTTTTAACCCGTCAGTATCGGCAACCGTTACTTGGTAATTATC